TCCGGTCCAGACCCGTTCAGACCGGCTGGACCGGTTCAGTCAGTTATTTTCAGTTTCAGTCCCGGTTTTCAGTTTCAGTGTTATTTTCAGTTAAAATTCCGGGTCAAGTTCAATTCATTTAATTAAAGTCAACTCAGTTTCGTACTTAGCAGATTCAGTTATACCGAATAAGTCCGAATATCATGTCAGATTCGAAAGAGCATCTTAACATAATTAAACAGTTAAATTATCAGTTTGAGCATAGTCAATAGTAATTGTTTATATTATTTTCAGTTTGATCAGGCATCAGCACTACCATTCAGTTTCAGTTTCAGAAGATCAGGTGGGGACTCAGACTAAGTACTACATGGTTTATAATTACGTTACCATGGTCGAGGTATGTATAATCAGTATCCGCTCGGAATGGTTGCCGGTCCATTCTGAGTTCTAGTGGCCCTAGTCTGTCCACTAGAGTGTGCACATGGTGTCCGGCATTAGTTTTTGCCGGCAGATGAGGTAACGGTCAGGGTCACGTTGCGTGACGATATCAGATTCATGTTCATGTTATTACTGGTTTCATGTTGAGGTTATGTATATGCCGATATCATGATGTTGTTATTATTTTCAATGTTTACATTAGTATGAGTTTCCACGAAGCACAGTGCCATAGTGCTCATTTCCCACTTTTATCATGTTTTTCAGGTCAGGATGTCGGGCAGGGAGCGTGAGATGACGGATGCTTCAGGACTTTTATGTTATGACTGTATATATTTTGATGATATTACGTTTCCGCTGACTTTGATGATGGTTTTTGACGAACTTATATTTTGACTGGACTTTTGGGAAAACTTATGCTTTCAGTAGTCGTATGATTTTATTAAAAATTTAAATAACGGTTTTCCAAAATAAGTCACGATTTTAAGGTAGCACCCCAAATCAGTTTTCGCAAAGTAAAAGATTTTTATTTTTAAATAACTTTGCGAATTTTTCGCACTCTGATTTCACGATAAGGCGGGATGTTACAGGGGATACCACCGTTTGGAGGACCTCCACCTCCGGGAGTGAATCTGGGTGGAGAAATGCCTACTACTCCGCCCGGAGTGAAGGTGGCGGTGCTGACCTCAGCAGGAGCAAGCCAAAATCCCAATACGGGCGGAGGAGAACTAACGGAGATGTCTCGATGCGCGGGAAAGTAAATCCTGGAAGGGCCAGAACAAACGCTCGTTCGATCTCGGGTCGAGGAGCAAACGGTAACAATGACGAGAGATGAGATGCAAAGGATGATAGCGGAAGCTGTGGCAGCTCAGCTGAAGCAAGCTCAGCCCGAGCAACCTAGGGTCGAGCCACTGAGGATTGAACAGCCAAACATCGAACGCGAACAGCAGGCCCAGTCCAACGAGAGGCAGAATAGGAGGGCAGAGGAGGAGGCTTCCTCTATCAGGACTGTTAACCCGCAAGCGAGGGATGAAACGCTGGAGCAATTGCTGGCCCAAGTGCGTGATTTGCAAGCCCAGGTCGAGGGGAGAAAAACCGGCGGCTCGAGAGGACATCCGTTTTCACAGCATATCCTCGACGCTGACCTACCACAAGGCTTCCGTGATTTAAACATAAGCTATGACGGGTCAACCGACCCATCTCGAAATATGAAGAGTTTCGAGAATATGGCGGTGCTCCATCGCTACAACGATCCAGTGCAATTTCGAGCTTTCCTGACAACTTTACGAGGTTCCACTCAAGACTGGTTCCACCAGTTACCAGCAGGAGCTATCAAGGATTTCGAGGGGTTCAGTTCGAGTTTCCTCAACCAATTTGCTAGTGTCAGGCCACAAGAGAAGTCGTATTTAACACTGATGGGCATACAACAGAAGAAAGGTGAGTCGTTACGAGATTATGTGGCGAGATATACACGGGCATGCGTCGAGGTGCACAGAGCATCAGAGGAAATAAAGGCGGGGGGCTAGACCCGAGGGCTATTGCCAGGCTTGTGTAGGAACTCTTTGGCTAAGCGCCCCGGTAGAAAGTTTGATGAGGTGCTAGGGAGGTGTGCGAAATACATGAACGTCGAGGAAGCAGAGGCCGACTTCTCGCAGTCGGCTAAGACGATTAAAATAGACCCCCGAGACGAGAGAAAAGAAAAGAGAGTTTCCTTGACTGGAGAGAGAAAGGGGTCCCCGCGAGCAGAAAGGGAGGGACGATCTAGAAATTGGAGGCCAACTCATTACACCCCTCTGGTGGCCCAACAAGCTAGGATCCTAGAAGTTATAGAAAGGGAGATTCGGGATAATGTGGTAAGATGGCCCAAGACAAGGAATGACGGGCCAACGAGGCCTAAGAGAAACCTATATTGTCGATTCCACAAGGATTACGGACATAACACTGACAATTGCAGGCACCTCACAGACGAGATAGAAAGATTGATATAGGCCGGCCATTTGAAAGAGTTCATATAAAAAGATCGAGAGAGGACAAGTCGAAGGAAAGAAAGGAGTAAGAGTCCTCGCAAGAGGACAAGATCACCAGAAAAGGATGAGCTCCCCTTGAAAAGAGGAATAATTCACATGATCTTTGGTGGGCCGACTGA